ACCCCATTTAAATTCACTCAAAAAACCCCTGAATGTAGTGTTGAGGTCACGTATATACAAATATTAACACATTAAAAAAAAAAAAGGGAACACAGGGTGAAGAGCAAAATTTTTGTGTCATAAAGTCACTGATTTTCAGATACAATGTGACCATTGTCCTCCATGAAATTATAAAAGAATCTTCCTTACTTAGAGCCTAGATCAGCAGAAGCCTCAGTTACTTGAAAACTGGTATATTCACAAATTTTCCTTTTAAATTGCTGTTCTGTAGAAGCTGATTTAAACAGGAAGAACAAAAACCTGAAGTGTGACCAGTCTCAATGAGACTGATTTGTACTTCAGAAGTAATATGAGACTTTGGATCTTTCCTGTTCTCAAGGCACAGCTTGAAATGTCTTAAACAGCAGGACCATTAGGATCACTTTCCACTAGCCAGAATAGAGGCATTCAAAATTGAGTGCCAATTTTAACAAATCAGTGATGGAATTAAATCATTACCATCTTCCTTAGCTTATGGATAGGAAAAAAAAAGGAGGACTTAAATATTCAAGTTGTGTCATTTGAAATACCTGAGGGCTTTTAGCATCCTGACTAGGAATATTTAACATGGAATAACTGAATTTTTTTGCCATAATAAAGTTGGGGTTTAAAGTTATATAAAAGAGAGAACAAATAAGGTGATGGATGAGGACACTGTAAAAAATCTCTCTCTAACCAGACTTTGGAGTAAAAACCTTGAATTTGTATATGGGCTGGTTATAAAAATAAGAGATCAACTTCGAGAAGTTAAATACTGGAAAGTTAGATACTGTATCCTGGCATTACTTGGAACAAGTTGTTTGGCAGAATAAAATATAATATTCCTTGTTTGCATAATAAGTATTTTTGGTAAAAGCATCTAAAATCAAACTTTCAGTGAACAGAGGAGGTTTTTCTTCAGTTTCGGTAACACCTCCCACATTTGACTACAATGACCTGTTCATTATATTTTAAATATATTTGAGTTCATATTTAAATATAAATTATATATCTATAAAATAACACTTAGGCATGATCTATGGTTTTAGCAGAAATCAATAGCAGGTGTTTCTTTTATTCTACTAAGCCATGAGTGCATATTTCTTTCCAAGAAATCCCTTACAAAACAAATCATTTCTATTAGTCTCACAGCATTAGTGTGGCAAAGAATAGGGAGCAACCCAACCTTTGGCAGCATCTACTATGGAATTAAAGGCACCTGCCATGCATTTAAGGACAGATTCCTTGCAACCTTCTGTCAGACACCCACATAGAGACAAGCCACTGTATAAAGTTATGAATCACGGGTGGTAGAAAGTATCTCTCATTTTTGTTTCAGCTTTTACTGCTTGGCAGCAGAAAATGTGACATCTGTGAGGAAAAAACTGGCCATCTTTAATCATTCTGAAATTAATAGATGTATTCTCTTGAAAAGACTACATAAAAAAGTATTACTATTATTCAACATGTTCATAAAGGGCAAAATCTAATCCTTGTGAGCCTGGCATTCTCACAAATCTTTTGGTAACTTTTGCCACAGAAGATTCTGAGAGCAGCTGATTTTCCAGCCACAACCTGTACGAGGAACGCAGCATAAAGAAGAAAAATAAACACACCAATCAAAAATCTTGCAATTATGAAGAAAACCAGATTTTTCTCTTCTGTCCAAACAGAAATTACTGCAATTGCTCTTTTTATGCAGCTTCAGCAGAGTAGAATGAGTCAGGGTAGATTCACAGAGCTATGGCAACGCTTGAATGCACGTCCCAGGCAATCACTGCTCTTTGATAGAAAATGACTGTAAACATGCCTGTACATAAGAAAAACATAGATTTCTTTTCTCCTCAGAATTCCACTGAATAAGAGAAATTTTCACATAGTGGGAGTAGTTTCATTTCTCACTAATTTAGCTACAGTGAACTTCTGTTAATATACTATTCTAGTTAGGGCTTGCTCGATTTCAGAAACTACAGGTCTCACGTATTGGTAAAGCTTTTTATGTTTTTAAAATGAACAAATTAAAATATTACTTGATTTTGACTGAAATACCACAGAAGAGCATGCATGCAAGGAGGACTCGGTGTTTTCTAATTTCAACTTTGATAATTAGGAAGTCCAACACAAAATTGATCATATAAAAAAAATTGGTAGAAAATAAATAGGTACTCTTTCATCGTACTTTGGTACCATAGAAACAAAACTTTTCTTGAATTCTACATTTTTAACAATTGGTGGCAAAAATAATAAAGCCCCAGCTGTTTTTCCTATCTAGTTACATTTAATATAACACACCCAGAGAGGGTGAGGCCTCTCCATGTGTGGAGACATTCAGGATCTGGCTGGACACAGTTCTGGTTAATCTGCTCTAGCTCAAGATTCTCTCAAATCTTACTCCACTAGGATTGGACTACATGATCTCAAGAGGTCAATTCCAACCTTAACAATTCATGTAAATAACTGGGCTGCACAAAAATAGGCACAAAAGGATTAAGGAAAATTGTGCTTAATTTCAGTTTTTCTAAGCAGCCCTGTATTAAACAAAAATGGACTATTTCTCCTCATCTCCTTCAAATTTTAAATTTCAAATGACTGTAAGGCTAAAGACTTTGCCTGTGTATGATTTAATCTTTCCTTCTTCTGAATAAGTGTCCAGAGTATTTTACTCAGCACTGCTATGGATGTTTCCAATGAGGCTTGAAATCCAGGTTCTGCTTGTTCAACGAAGAAAAGTTAAGAGGACTTGACAATTTTCATCAGACATTTTCTTCAGCATTCTTTAATAAATTTTTACCCTAAGAAGATTATGTCAGTGCTGTTATCTTTAATTAAACATACCAAGGGGATAATTTCCAGGTTTTCTGTGAACAGCAATGGCCTCTTTCAACAGGAAGGGCTTTTAAGGTCCTGTATTGTACTGCAGCTTTTGAACTAAAATGCATCTACAGGGAAATACTGTTATGAAGGTTCACTTACTTTCTCAACACTCCCAAAATCTCAGGAAAGAACCATTTTTTCAATTTTTAGAGCCTGCTTTGCACCATGATGACTCTTATTTGCTTGTTTCCATCCCCATATCTTGTTCAGAACTGTCTAGGTGAGTAGTATCTTTAGTAATTTATTTTTAAGGAATACTAATCTTGAAGGAATCTCATGAAATTTCAGGACTAGGAGTGGGTCATTCTCCTGTTTTTAGGTCATGCTGAGAAGAAAAAAAAAATCCCACCATCTTTTATTCTCTGTCACAATGTAACAGGGATATTTTGAAGATGCTTAAAATTTCAATGTAAACTTGAAATAGAAGACATGGTCATAGAAAACACTCAACTACAGTAGTTTTGACCATAAATGTGTTTAAATCTAAAAAAATCCCTGCATTCGGTGCTACTGTTACTTCCTCTCCAGCAACTAAATTGAGCTCTGTATAAACAGAAATATATATGATGCTACTACACTTATATATTAAAGCCTTATGTTCTCCTTCCACACTTTCTATAGAAATTGGCATTCATTTAAGTTAAAAAAAAATAAAATCACAATCTCAATTGCGAGAGGCAGGAGGGATTTTAAAAACAAATTACATGGTTTTTTTGCCAATAAGCAAACACATTCTGACAGGGAACTGGTATTAGTAGGTACAGATGGTGAAACAGCAGCAACACTCAATTTCTCTGTAGTAACAGTCTGCAGACTCACTGATTTTAGGATTTTCTGCCTATATTATAGAGTTGAATATTCACTACTTGCAATAAGCCTTAGTGTAGGTAGGAAAATAGAAGAAACTACAGATTTTGTACTAAGAAATTGTTTTGTTCCTTTTTTTGCCCCCTCATGGGCAGGTCTCACTCAGGTTTTCATTTTATAATAATGTTCTAGTTTCTCTCTGCCAGTTTTAAACTCTTGTAGTGATCTGTAATAAACAACATTCTGGCACAGCTTTATTTTCAGTCAAATCCCTCTAGGGAATAGAGTGATTTAACATTAAATGTGTATCCCATCCTGCTGCTTTCTGTAATCTACTCAGACCAAGTGGGGATAAGGAGTACTTACTTCACACAAATTAAAATGAGACGTTTTGGTCAAATTTGAACTCCAGTGGAGGTATTTGAAAATGTTACCCATAATCTTACTTTAGTCTCCCAAGTCTGGCTAATAAAAACTTCAAACTTCTCCCATTTACCACTGTTCCAGTTTCTGCCTCCAAATCCATTTTGCTTAAAACAGAATATTGTCACCCTTATAGCAAAACCTAAAACTTGAACTAGATGCTAGGTACTTTCTTAAAAGTTTTCTGAGAGAAAAAAAGTAGGACTGACAAGTCACATTTGTGATCTCCAAGTTAAAGAGGACAAGAATAATGCATACACTTGTTTGTCTCTGAATGGCTGTTGCTGGCTGAGTGATACTTTCATGGAAAAAGGTTTATACAGATCCAAAGAGGTCTTCCCACAAAAAAAACCCAACTGAAAACATGCAGCCATACAAGAGAGAAAGGAAAAATTATTCAAAGTAAATTCTTAAAAATGCTTCATACTGTAAACAAAACATCTAGCACACAGTTTCTAAAGTTTACAGAAGTAAAAAAAAACACTGACGAGCTTCAGATTGTAAATTCACCAATCTTATGTTTCATGACATTATGCATTTGTAGATATCACAGAATTTTTTTATATGCTTTAGCATTTAGAAGGTTTAAAGACCTTGTCTTTATCTTAGATAGAAAATACAAGACCCAAGCAATTTTTAATGTTCAATATTAAACAATTATTAGGGAAATGGAAGCAACACCTGCCTGTCTCTTTTACAATTAACTAAAAACCAAACAACCAAACCCAAAGCTTGTTGATGCAATATTAGAACTGGTTATATGTGATACCTTCTCAAATCATATTTCTACATTAAATATCTGCTAACCCAAAAAAGTGAGAAATGCTTTAACTGATTTTTTAAAAAATAACAAACCAAATAAACTACAACAATTGTACCTGCAACCACTGGAGATTTCCTGTCATCCAGAAGCTGAATAGCAGTACTGGCTGTCACTACATTGCTCTTGTTTGCAGTTTCTGCAGGGTTTATTAAAAAAAAAAAAGTAAAAATAATTGAAAAAACATATTGCAGAATGAGGCAACTGAGCTTTTTTCCCCTGGTTTGAAATAACAGTCCACATGGATTTAGTGCTCAGAAAATAAAGTAGTAAACATCATGTTCTATATGTATGCACAGAACATACAGGCACTGCCATTTTAAATTCCCCAGCATCCCACAACCAAGCTTAAAACACTGAAATGATTATCAGGTTTTGACTCTGCTAAAATGGCAACAAAGGTGACAACTTTTGGTTGGGCTTCTCATTAGTGTGAACATTTGTTCTGTTGGACTTGTCTTGCTTAAAATACCAGGCTGTAAGTTCAACCTGTGCAAATATTAAAAGCAAAGTGTTACACCACACCTTGGGGTTCCCCTTGGAGCCCTGTAAGAGATGCACCTGGACAAAGGGCCAGTAAAGTAGCTGCAGATTTCAATGCACATTTCAGATTAACACTGGAGATTAGCTACAGAGCCCACTCAGTACTGACATACTTGGAATCCTTTCAGCATCATATGTATCTCAGAATTTAGAGAATGACAAAATGACAGACCTGTGCTGAATGGGATTGAATACACAAAGCTCCCAGGTATTTGCTCAGCAGCTCTTCTGTACCAGAGTGGAAAATGGTCAGCATTAAAAATGTTCTCCTTATCTTCAGCTGTCAGGAAGTCTCTTGAGAAAAAAAGAGAGACAGAAAAGACTTGTTATTTGTTGCATGGCACACAGTAGTTTCTAGCTTTGAAAGACAATAAAAAAACAAAATGCAATTCTTAGGGAAAAGAAATGGTTTGGAACAATTCTTCTAATACCGTTCGTTCAACAAAAGGGTTAAATTTAGCCACTAATAAATATTTGTGACACACTTACAATCACTTTTGTTGTGAAAGATGGAAAAAGTACTGAAAAATAGTACCTCTAAGTACTACTAAAAACATTTTTACTGATGTGTACAAATAAAAATGTTTAGTCCAAAAGGCCTTTGTCTTTTAGCACAATGTAAGAACTGTGAACTATACAAGGTGGAAAATGCACTGGAGATTTGATAGTCTGTTGCCACTGGTATTTGCTCTTAAGTAGTGAAAAAAGAAATGATTTTACAGCCTACTTTCCAATTACTATGTAAGGGGTGGTAGTGGACAACTACATTATTCCTCAATAATTATTCCTCAATAAACAACTACTTTATTCCTCAATCATTTCAGGGAATGTTAACAGAGGAAAAGTTGTGTCAAGTGACAGGAGAAAGTATGGTGTCCACACAGCTGTTCTGGTTTGCTGTCTGACAGTAACAAATTGGAGTGCTATTGATCTCACCTGTCAGGCTACTTGAACTACAACAGCAATTGTGGTCAGATAAGCACCATATAATTTTATATTAAATAAATTAAATTATATTATCATAAATATCAAGTGCATATTTTCTTTTGCACGCATAATACCTCCATTAGATTACATCTTCTCCAAGCAAAATAGGAAACCCTCATTATGTAATGAGATCTCTTGATTACTCTTACACTCAGTCCACTTCTGCCACTTGGTTTTATTTCTACACTGAAAATGTTTTCCACAACAGTGATGCAAAATCTCTGGAAAAGCCTACAAGTACTTGTTTTTAGGTGGGGCAGTAAAAAAAAAAATCATCATCTGCAGGTGTAGTATTTTCATAATTCTACTCTGAAGAATAAAGATGTGAGGCTGGGAGCATGTGTGTGGAGAAAGTAAACACATGGGCTACTCGTGTAAAATAGTTCATTGTTCCAAATGTTCCAGTTGAACAAAGAATTTAAGGGATCCTATGAGATCTTTCTAACTTGTTCTATCTGAAGAAACAGTAGATGGGCTTCATAAAAATAAACATTTTTTCCCTTCTTTTCTTATATGGCTGCCAAGCACAGCTTTGTTACTTACTGGTTAGTGAGCTGCTCTGGACCCACAAACAGGTTGATACGAGATAGTCCAGTCCGTGTTCCAAGGAAGGCAACTTCCACTCCTTTGTCAGAGTTTCTGAAATGGCAAAGATATTGCTTTTAGATAGTAAAAAGATAAAGCTATATTACTGGTCAAAGAAAGTACAAGTGTATTGTAGTTTTTGAGAAGTATTATCTTAAGCATAGTTCCCTTATTTGTTGATTTATTTTTAAATACTGGTTTTTAAGTTATGGACGTGGGTTTTGAAAAACATGCAGTGTAGAAATGCTGTTTAGGCCAAAAATCACTAAAAAGTCAAAGACAGTACATTTTGTAGGATTTGTAGAGAAGGTTTATATGGAAGTCATAGCATAAAAAGGTGTGGCATAGCTATATACCAACTATTTAATAGCCACAGGTATTCAGTGATTCTGAGATGGGCAGGAATTCCAGATCTTGCTCCCAGTCCATTCAACACCTCCATAGTATGTCTATGCTTCGAGTCATAGGTGTGAATGTTGCTCAAGCAACCAAGTACAGAATTTCATTAGTTTTATTGTGGAAATTACAACTTATCATCGTGATGTACACTGCAAGATAAGTACTTAAGACTGAACTCGAAATTGGTGCTATTTGGGATCAAATGGTTAAAATAATATCTTCATGCATATCAGAATTTGTTAGACATGCCACCAGTTCACCAAGATATCTGTCAAAAATACACCCATGGCTGATAGATAAGGTTGACACAAAGCCTGCTTACTCTGATTTATTCAATGCTAGGCTGGTCCAATAAGCTTCAATTGGTGCACTCACAACTGCATCAAACAGAACTTCCTGGATCAATTCTTTATCACCTATTACAATATATTAAAGTCAGTAAATGTATCTGCATACAGAGAAATTTTTTTAGATGACTACACAATAGGTTTTCTTAAAATAATTGTACATTATTTTATCTGTCATATGCTTTCAAAAGTTTTGCACTATGAGGCACTTACTGTGTAATATTAAATGGTATTTTACAACAATGCAGTTTTTCATATATAATTTCATTGCACTAACAACAATTTAGATAAAAACCCAAACATTGATCCTCCACTTCTCTTGTAACTTGTCCATGTATACATTATCTAATGCTCCCATTTGCACATGACAAAAGGTTAAAACAAGCAGGTCTACTAACACATTTCTGCAGGTGGGCAGAATATGCACTTATTCACTTGAATTTTTTATTCTACTTTGCAGTTCAGAAATGCTAATTTCATACCCATCCTCCCTAAGATGCTCATGAAGTATCTCATGTATTCTTTAGAGGCATGATCCAAGGATTGATTCAGACCAATTCTGTTTAACTTACAAAACCAGATGGAGTGATAATTTTGCATAGCATAGCTACATCATCTGAAAAGAAACCTGAATGTTTGTTTCAGGCATATTGTTCACTGCAAAAGTCAGAAATCTGAATCATCAATATCTTTACTGATACCCTGGATAAAGCTCAAAACCAACTGAAATTCCGAAGTAACATCAGCCAAGCAATCCTATCTCAAACTAACACTGGTTGAACTAAGTGGCTTTCCATTTTGTAGAAGGTTCAGTGCAACAGTTTTTAGCTGGGGTAAAGCCCATTTAAGTGCATGTTTAACAAAATACTTGCATTGCAGCAATGGCTCTTTTCCCGTGAGGTAGCGTTTAATGGCTTCTAACTGAGTCATTTGACGGTGCTCAGGATGTAAGTCAGTGTTGCAATAGGACCTGTGAACACGTTGTCAAGACATTAAAATGTTATTATATGTGTAAGAATGATCTCTCTTTGTCTTCGAACATAAAGAATTGGGCTCTGCAAGCACAAACAATATGAAACCAAGAAGGGTAACAGACACCAATTTCATGCTTTATTTAAGGCTTACCATTCATCTGCTAAAGATACATCAGGGTGCTCTAAATCATGTAAACCTGTAACAGTAATAATAATGGGTTACTTAGGGAGCAGTCTGGGTAACAGATGGTTATTTGCATACACTCCATAACATAAACCCTTTTTGGAAAGTGCATTATTACCACAACGAAATAAATCACAGTAAACTATGCTCAAATACACTTCAGGGTCTAACAAACTTGCAAAAGCCAGCTAAATCAGATCTAAAACTGAAAAGGTAGGAAAACTTTTTTGTGCTAGTATGTTTAACTCATACAAATTACTCACATAATATATTTAAAGTTAAAAAGAAAATCTGAATAAAGACAAATACAAAATGGTAACAGACATCTGTTCATATTCCCTTGTTCTCTTCAGCCAGTAAAGTTCTTTATGCTAAAATACACACTTCTCATTTCATGTGAGTTGTTCTCCTTCTCTTTTAAAGAAAAAAGTTGTAATTCCCTCAAAACCTAAGGACACAGCCCATGAACACAAACAGCAATTTATGGGATCATTCAGAATAGTTTTTTTGTGCTAACAGGTCACGCAAATGCTTGTAAATAAGAACTATATCATTAGTTATATAGCACAATAAAAATGTACTTTGGCAATTTTAAAAACTCTTAAAACACTTATCAATAGACAATAAGAAAATAGGGATCAGAAGGCAGGGTCTGGGTTTAACCTGCCAGAGCACATAATAAACAATGACAAACCAACAGCGGTTAAGGAAAGCAGGGAAGCCAAAACCAGAACTACAACTGGAATCCTTGGGGAGGACAGTGAAGTGTCAGTGATGGAGAATCAGTGAAGGTAAAACTGGGAGAGAAGGAACTGTTAGTTATGGTTCTGTTAACACTTCTGGTGATGCATCTGGGAGCAAATATCAGACAGACTGCTGAGATGTGTGGCTGGATTAAAGAACATCGGCGAGAGGTGAGTTGGGAACAGTTTGGAGAGCAAGCAGCTCTGCATCTCCTGCTGTGCTCTCTTTCTATCTAGACTTGTATTTGCTGCTCAAGTGACTCAAACTTCAAAGCATTTCTTTTTATGTCTCTCCTGAGTACAGGAATATATTCATGTCACAAAATACAGCTGAGGAACAAAGACCTGAAGAAATTAAGGATCTTGTTTGACATCACTGACAAAACAAGAAGAATTGGAAATGGAGACTTCAGCATAAAATTGGAAAGAATTCCCGTATTGAAACATTTTTTGCTCAGTAATTTCTAAAACTTTTCAAATCTCTCTTCAATCTTCTGAAATGCCTCTACTATTCCTTCATCTTCAGAAACCTTGTTGCAAAACACCTTTTATCACCACACACAGTGGACTCCTGCACTCATTTAACTGGGGACTTATCAAAAAGCAAAACCATAAAGAAAGACTAGTTCTTTCCCTGGTTACCTCTACTGCTGCTATAAATATGTAAATCCTTGTAGATAATGCCCAAAGCAATTATAGCTCTGAAAGAGTTCACAATGTATAGTCTGTGAACAAAAATGCCATAACAATTACAGTGCTCTTAGTGGTTACTTCATTTAGAAAACACCACAAATAATTAACATTGGGCCTGAGTGATTCTCTGGAACATTGAGAGAGGACAGAAGATGATCACATCTAAAGAAGATTCACAGTCTGACTATGTTTAATATAACTGAGGACAAAAATCCTGTGAAGTAAAAGATCTTCAAATAATACATTAAAAAAAAAATAGAAAAGAAAAGAAAAAAAATCTAATTACCTTATGGAATCTGCAGACAAACATAAAAGCTTTAAGACTACCAAATCAACAATAAAACTACTGTATAAGCAACATGAGAAGGTAGGTATCTTACCTTCTTCTACAGTTACGTTCCCTCTGAAGAAATATTTTCCATGTCCTCTAGAGAGAGCCACACCTAAACTGTGCAGAGAAATAAAGCAGACCTTGAAATCTGTGAGACAAACAATAGCAGACATTCAGAGCTATTTTCATTTCTAACATCTCCAGCTAGTGTACTATGATTAACTTTAAAACTTTGTTTCCAAACCCTCACAGATTATATTTATTTTACAACTAGTTGCTTCAATGATGTGGTTGCAACAATTGGCTGTATTTATGTGTGCTTAGAGGTGCAGTAAACCATTATTCTCTGGCAAACTAATAAATGAGCCCCTCTAAGCTCACTGCTGTTCACCCAGCAGGAGATTCCTTCAGCTGGGCCTTGAACATGCCCATGGCCTTACAATGAAGGAGACAATTTTTTGTATTCAGAGTAAGCTGTTGAGAAACTACAGAAGTGTGGGAATTGATGGAGCTACTGAGAGGAAAAAAATTTCCAATGTGACAACAGCATCATGACTCCTCTTGGACTAATTTTTCTGTGTTTCATATTTTTAGCTCGTATAGCTCTTTTGTATTGACTTTGGCTTCATAAATTATCAACAGCTACATACTCTGTTTGGGTTTGGTTTTTAGTCTACTATTTAAACTATCCAAGTTTAATGGCTGGGGATCCCATGCCTCTTGTTATTGAACACATACACAGAATACCTTCTGGCATTCATTCATTCAAGGGGATTATCTCAGGCTAAGAATCTGCCAGTACTTGAAGTACATGTAGAGGCACCAAATCCAAGAGCACACAAGCTGCAACCAACAGCTGAACACTAAAAATCTTTGACACTACACTATAGATTTTAATAAATGTTGCCCTTGCTGTCTTCCCAAATCTACACTACAACCCATCAAAACTAGATATATACCATGCTAAAAAAACAGGACTTTTTCCTAAATATTTCTGTTCTCAGCATCATAACTTGCACTGCATGCATATATCTGTTTACTTAATAGGGCAAGATAGACAGTGCCAGAGGGAAAAAACCACAACAAAACAAAACAAAAAACCCAACCAAACAAAAAACCCCAGTAACAACAAAAAATTCCACAAAATAAAAACAAAACCAAACCTACACTAAGTATTACAACTCACGTGTGAATTTCAACAAGAATAAACAGTGCATTAGAGGTCAGAGAAACATGCCTATAGTTTCTCTATGTGGCAATGTAGCTGAAGTTATGTGAAACAGTTACATTGAAGAAAATTTCAGTTGAGTATTGCAACTGCCACCCTTCTGCTTTAAGCATAAGTTACCACTAGTACTCTTTCATTAATGGATTATTTCTAATTCAAATACGAGCATTTTTGAAGTGACTACCTGTCTTTCTTTTCCTTTTTTTCCCCCCTGCTAAAATGCATGCCAAAATTACCAATGTACTCAGTTTTAGTTATAGAAATACACCAAAGGTAGTTTAGAGAAAAAAAAAACATCCAAACCTCAAATTGGAAGTGAAATACTATCTCATTTTACATTACATTCTTGTTGTGGAAAAAAAAAAATCAAAATGGGGCTCAATATGTAGTTACTTAAATGGATTATAGTATTTATAGCTCTCCAAGTACTTTCGAAAGCCTTTCGTTCAATGTAAACCTCAACTGAATATTTTTTCAATGAAACGTAAGCCATGACAAACACTGGGAGTTTGCCTGTGTGAGCTTGCACAAACTTTCCATCTCTGGAAAAGCTGAAAGGAATGCTGGTAGGCTCCTTTTCCTTGCTATTTTCAGCATTGTCCAGGGATATTTCATTGTCAGCTTTTGCTGATGAGCTTTTAATGAGTTCACAAGCTCTGTATAAGCACAGATCCAATGAGCTGGATGAAATGTCCATTTATTATGGTCGGCTCTACCTGAATGGAGTCCCCTTGATGTCTGTATAATAGTAGTCATTTGTCATCACCAATACCCGCTTCTAGATTCAGAACAAGAAAGAAGGGGACGGGGGAAGAATTTAGTTTGCTATGAGAAATATATAAAAGACCAAGTGGTTAGTCCCTGATAAAATTACAAGTAATGTTTACATTCAGTGAGCAAAAAAAAAAAATATATATACTGCAGTGAATAATATTTATAGCAAACTTAAAAACTTTTTAAAAATTATTGCTTGCTTTATATTTAGTTGGAATAATATTTTAGACACTGTACCCCTTTGTCCACTGTCTTCTTCACTTCCATGGAGAATTTCCCTGTTTTTCGATTCACCATTGCATTTCGGAGCTGAAACGAAGGAAATGTGTGTCAATCCCTTTATTGGCATTTTTGATAATTCTTTTACCTCTGAGCTCTCCAGTACACTCATTTGGCCTAAGCAGTGCTCAATTTTCTTCATTTCTTCATTTTCAGTAATTCTACTATGCACTGAAAAACCCCCTTACAGATTCTGTTATTGACTGTATAGGCCAAGACTCCTGCCATACAACTCTAGGCACGTTGCTAAGGCACAGAAGATAAGAGCTTTCAGCATCCCTCATAGTAAAATAGTTGGATTTAGGTGAAGTTAGACCAGGGCTCAGTGTTTAATTACATCGACAACTATACAGAATAAGAGAAAACACCACTTACCCCACACTATTCATTCTGCTTAAGAATCTGCATTGGGCTGCATCCTAAACCAGCACCAGAAACTTCATCCTAACTGCATCAGAAATTAGAACTAGCCCATGAAAACAGAATGACAGCCCGTTTGATCAGTAACCTGTTTCAGTGGGAACACACAACTGCAGTGCTCTGCAACTCCCTCAGTTGTCCTTTGGTGTCAGGTGCCCCTTGCAAGGTAATAAATTTTAGCTCTGTAATGGAAGCCCTAAGTCAGTCACAGCTTTAAGAATTGGCCTGGACCTCTCCCTCTCAAAGTTGTCCAAGAGACATTTTAAATCTCCCTCAAAACCAAGTTGCGTTACTTGTATAAACCAAAAACTCAGAGAAGCTAGGGAAACCAGAAAATAAATGGAGACGACTTTATACACAATGATTTACCTGCTGCTCTGCAAGTTAAATCTGTTACTTTCTAGATCACCACAAACAGTGTTCTTCTGTAACTGTTTTCTAGCCTCTACACCAGCTGCAGCCTCCCAAACCTATGCTGCAAAGTCCCTTTCCCAACACCTCTAAAAACCCTTCCCTCAGCACACCTATTTGCTCCCTAGGAGAGAAGAGTCTTCCTCCCAGAGGACACACACCCTCTCCCTTAGGTGAACATGCCATGATGATGAAAAGAAGAGTAAAAAAACCAACACCCATCCCCCGGGTGTACAGGACAAAATGACCAGCAGGATGAGGACACGCTACCCTGGCACAGGTGCTCTGAGGGCAGGGGCTCTGGGCTGCAACTGAAGAATGAAAATACAGGGGGTTTTTTTGAGAAATTCCCAACATTAGGGCTTTGAATTTGCCTATTTATCAGTTCAGGACTTCAACGAAGAAATAAGAAAGTTACTGCTTAACAGTTCTACCATCTATATATGGAAACATTTCATTTGATTGCTCTTAGATTTACTAATGGAAGAAGTGAGTTATTTCGCTTGTTGTGGTAAAAAGCACCTATAAATCTTTTGCAGCTGTAGTTTTCATTACAATTGGAAAATTCCACTATCACTAATCAATTCAATATTCAAAATGCAGAATAATATTGACAAAGGGAGCATTTTTATGTCTTTTCTATTGCTTATCTATCTGAACACAATTTTGAACATCATGTTCAAGTGAATAAATACCCCCTGTTCCAGAGTACCTCATGCCAGATTGGGCAATTCAGTCGGGTTTTAATGAAAAATTGTGAAGATAGACTTATAAATGCACTCTGCAGGCTTTCTGAGTTAGTATGGAGTGAAAAGTGAATGACTAAACTTGCCAGTGAAGTATCTGGTTTTATTCTCATGAACAAGTTGAGCATGGCTGACCTATCAAAAACTGCAAACTTTGCAGCTCTTTAAATCTAATTCTAGGGCATCTAGATTTGAATTAACAGTCTTACTCTTCTGTCAGTGAGTGTAAAAGAATAATTTTTAGCTGGAGGCATATATAAAATAAAGCATATATTTTACTGTAGATTTTTTTTTTAACAATACATAATAGGCAATTCTGGAAATAGTTTCCTATTTTAAGTTTTGTGGTTTTGGACTTGGAGAGTTGGTCTTAATTAACCATCTACTTTCTAACATTTACAGAACAGTTCCATTTATCTTTAACATGGTTTTCATTTTTCTCCTATTGGTGCCTGCAGTTGTCTAAGACCCATTCCTCCCACAAGCCTCAGGCAAGTCATAGATTTACTAAAAGGTTCTCCAAACTCTCAGTAGTGTTTAAGATCAAGTCTGCATGTGGGATTTAGAGTTTTACTTTTCTCTCTTTTTTTTTTTTCCCCTGCTTGCTGTGATTGCATTTCTTGGCTTTGTAATCTGGTTTCTCAGCTCTTCTGCAGTTTCATCTCCCTCCTCAAATGCATAAAATAAGTACTGCCTCACTTGGCTCCAAGCCCCAAAACATTCATTCATGGTCTTTTTTATTTGGAAAAAAAAATATTTCATTCAGCTAGAAATTATAATAAAGGAATTTTAAGTGAGTTAATGAGAAAAAGGTTTCTATCCAAACTGAAACTTCTCCTCTTTGGTCCTGTGTATTTGCAAACCTTGCTGGAAGACACTGTTAACTTAATAAGCTGATGCTAAAATTTCTGTTTCTAATAAAATGCATTAACAGCAAGATAGCAGGTATTGTTAATTTGGAAAATGAGCTGATATATTTGACAACACTATTTGATGGTGAAAAAAATTATAACCTTAGTTCAGACACCTTTTCCTTACTGGATCACTAGAGAAAACCAATTTCTTCATCTCTTCAGAGTAATAAGTATTCTTGCTCCTTCAACTAAATATCTTCCAATCAATTGCTAACAACTCACTTTCACTGCTGTAGCATGAGATCATTCTATATTCTTGGAAAACTACACAACCATTAAATTAATGTGGTAAAAACTAAGAAAAAGTCTTAATCAGCTTCCACATAAGTGTTTCATGGGAGAAAAGAATCCCAGTAGTAGTCTATGTTATTAAAAGTAGCTATATGAATACATTAATTCTTTCCCTCTGCAGTTGAATAAACAATGCTTTACTACCCAAGCTTAGGAAAAATCAGGAACATCAAATCCAAGGTCTTGGGTGAAGCAGAGCCACGTGTGGCTTGTCTCTATGATACAATTAAAAATTTACTTTTAAGAAGCTTGTTTTATAGGTGAAAGGCAAAAAGTGAGATAAAAAGTATGTATGTATCTTTCATCAAAATGTGAAATGAAAATTTTTTGGCCTACAGATAGACAAAATGCAATTTCTGGTAGAAATTTTCAGAAAAAATGACAGAGCATAGGAGTGTCAACAAAAGGAAATAGAGTTTAATCTGGACTTTCATGTGTATTCAGATAGAATCTGAATTATAAATAAAACTAAATTTGCAATGTCACAGAAATAGTTCAATGTTACGTTAACTGAATCACTGAAAAAAATGAGGGATTAAAATCTCAGAATTAAGCAGATGAAGTATTGGAAGAAATAAAAATATAAAAAAAGAAAACAAACCAAAGAGAAAGAGTAAGAAGAAAAATCACGAAGGTTTAAGGGCTATATGTAACTACAGAAATAGCATTTGAAAGGACAGAGGAAATTTTCAAAGGTCATTAGCAGAGAAACTGGTTGAGTAATAAGTGATCAAAGATAAGAAAAAAAGCCAGGTATAAAACATGAAGCCAATGAGATTGCCAAGGCTGCTACAGTGTCTGAAAATCTAATGAAGAAACCTTAAATAGTGTGTGCGCAGGAAACAGCACAAAGCTACCCAAACATTAGAAAGAGTGTGCACTCCAACACAAAACTTTAACTAAGGAAGTAAGATGGCCTCTGAGGAGAGGCCGAGGACGATCTATCACCTGATGGAACAGACATTGCTTAAAACATAGATGAACTGTTTCACTATTCACAAAGGGGGTGGAGAGAGGGAGGAATGCAAGATATATATTTTGTAAGGGAGAAGGAAAATATAGACTTATGTCAGAACAGGGATCAAGAAATTAGTACATTTGAAGACTGACAAGACTCCAGGGGCTGTTGTACGTGATCCATCCCAGATTTCGGAAGGACATAACAAAGTAAATATGGGAACCTTCAGTGGGTATATTCAAAATCTCTCTGGAAAAGCAGAGGTACGAGGGACTTGAGAGAAGCTAACACAGTACTGATATTTGAGAAGGGATTGAGGAGACATCTATGAAAAATACAGACATGTAGTCGTGACTTTGGCAGTAGGGAACTTATGGGAAAAACTAAATTACAGGACAGAAAGGGGAACACCTGGAAAGTTACGATTTAATTAAGGACAGTCAGCGCAGATTCACACAAAACGAATCATGCCTAACAAATCAGATTTATTGAGGAAGTGACAGAAAGACCAGGCAGAGGTTAAGCCACGGACATAAGGAAAGCTTTTGATACAGTACTGCAGAAAAGGCTAAGCCTGGAAGGTAAGAAAGAATAAGATAAAGAGTGAACTACAGAGTAGATGGAGCACTGAAAAATGAGGTTAATGGAGAGCATTGTGTGCATAACAGCTGATAGACACAGAATGCATGCTCCTGCAGCTACCCATGTGTCTGGAATCAGGAGCTGGGAGTGAAACTGTACTCTGCATACAGGTCAAAGAATCCAATTTTGTATATTCATCTGATGTTTTTTGATTTTGTGCATTAAGTAAAACAGCTCTCATTACTTCCATTAAGGAAAGAGGGATCTCACGGAAAGAAGTTAAACTCATTCTTTCATTTCTGAGTTTCAGCAGTTGTCTGGGCCAGCCCCAAGGAGACATTCTACTCCTGTCTCTCGTGCTATATTTGCTGTCCAGCAAAAATACACAATGGGATGCATGGAGACTGCAAGGGTGATGAGTTTTACCAAAAATACAAAGAGTCTGTGTTTGTGGTATGTGCATATGTAAGGAAGAAACAATACAAAACAGTTGTAAAATTCTGAATGAAGTAAAAGGGTCTATTGTCCTTCCCTTCCTGAGAGTAGTCAGGTGGCCTCTCTAATGACTACTTAAACAGTTTCCAGGTACAGTAGTGGGATGCAACAATGTCTTCTGACAGGGTTTTAAAACACATCACTTACCACATCATCTCTGTCTTCCCACTCAACCTCAGAAAGATCCACACTACTGTAGTTGGGCTTTCTTCGCTTCTTCCCCTCTTCATACTGGTATAAAAAAAGGTGAAGCATTTAGCACATCCTGTGTTATTTGCACAATTATTTTGTATCAGAAGATTTAAAAAAAATTGCTGGATGTTGATTTTATGCAATACACTTCACAGTAGGGAGCTTAATTCATACAAAGTGCGCTGTACTGCTGCATAAATGTTCCCTGTGAACTAAAAACCTACATCACATGATTATTATATGATCTCTTGTCATGGTGCAAAACCTTTCTTGATGGACGTACTGGGAAATCAAACTCAGCAGTTGTACCTTCTTCTCCCCATATGGAAAATACATGAGACCTTGGATCTGGCAGTTTATGTTAAATGTCTCAAACTAGCTCTTTCAGCTGTACAGGAAGTTATATTTACTATAATCTTATCAACAAAATGTTTACCCATTTCACTTTAAACAAGATAAGATGCAAGTCTTGGGAAGTATGGTGTTAACATTTGCTGATACTCCATTTTATCTACAACTTCATGGGGGAAAAAGTAACATACTAACAATGATAGTATATGGGGTTTTTATCACTACTCACTGTTACGCTGTAAATCACACATTTAAAATAAACATTCTAGAGACAAATTGATTTGACACCGAGGTGTTTATAATGTGGGAAATTCTGCCCTCTGCTGAACATTCAAAATCAGCCTATTAGGGTAACCACAGAAAGCTGTCTCAGTGGAAGAAAGAAACAAACATTTAGGAAGACTTGTGAATAAAGAACCTAACTGGTTAAGTTAAATTAGGAGACTATATTTGAAAAGAAAAAGTAAATTTGGGAGAGGATCAGCATAATGTGAAATCTGGTCTCTTATCTTTTATGATGCATACAAGTGGGAATAAACAACCATCTTTTTACAAAGTATGACAGGAGACATTGGGATGCTGTGAAAAATCCCCAAATTGCTTTTCTGACTGTTCAACAACAGCATCACAGAAGGGTACAAAATGTACCTGTAAGGCAGTAGGTATAGTTGATTCTCCTCCCTCAGGGCAGGACCAACTGTACCATAAACCAAACCTGTCAGTGTTTGATACGAGCAATTCATCACCACAGCCAGCGGTGCAGGGACTTTAATCACATTCTGCAGATTACAGAGATCAAGAGAAAGACTTGCTCTTTGAGCATTAAGAAGGTTATTCTCAGCCTGACTTTTTCCTCTCTGAATTAGAAATTCTCATGTGAATTCCACAGTTCCTTTTGTGAACTACAATACTTTAAAATAGGCACGACAAAATCTTCCTGAAAAACAGCAAACTTGTAAAACTACTGACTGCAGCATCATAGTCACAAAGAGATTTTGAGATACTGGTAGCACTGTAAAGTTTCTTCTAGCACAGGCTACCCAGATCCTCCTTAATTTTTTGCTCATAAAAAAATTGGATACTCCAATTATTTCTACAGATGATTCTTTTTGGGAAATTCTGTGGGATACAATCCTGAGTCAAATCGCATTCTTTTTAATAAAAAATTCTAACAACTCTGTTCATACAAGTCTTAGTCTACATTGTGAGAATTGATGCAGATGTAACTGAAAAGTACTTTCCTGTTCTTTTCTTGCCCCTCTGCTAAAATCCACCATTCTTGTAACAACAAGGTTGTCTACTTCTGGTCTAATACTATTCAACAGATGGGTAGAGAGATGTAAAGAACTTCTGCTTTCAGCACATGCTTATATACTAGACTTTGAATTCAAGCAGCTCAAGTTCTACAATTACTTCTTGCGACATGACAGCTCTGATAGGCAGAGATAACTATACCCAAATCTGAAACACAAAGTTTGCAGCCAATACAACTAAATCTCATAAGAATAACGTATCAGAGGATAACATCCTGTTCATTAGCAGGGCTTGATTTTTGTAACTATGTTTTGCAAGCCTTTCATTATGGCTGCAGCTACATCAATATTATCTTTAATCTTTACAATGAGCAACTACATCTACTTTCTGTGGCTGCACCAATTAACCAAACAAATCTTTGATCTGATTTAGTCATTCTAGTATAGAAATGGTTACAGTCAGGCTCTGAAATACTGAGAGCTGAACACTGTTACATAGAAGTTAGCTGGGATCATTTGAGTAGAGCAAACAGCTCCTGTACTGGTTCCAATATTTAATTACATCCTCACTCACAGATGTTGAAGAGCTTCTGGCCCATATTGCATTCTCAGACACATGTGCAAATCCTTACTTAGGACAATAGTAGTTGATCTTGAGTGTCTGACAGCAGAAGTAGGCTTCAGACATAAGGCAAACCATTTGCATCATACTGATTATGGGGTTTCTATTTATTTTAATCATATAGATTTCACACCTTGCACTTGGAGAACAAAAACCAAAAACCAAAAGCAATCAAATGAGGAGCTGGATAAAACACCCAAAGTTCTGCAGAAAGGCCAGAATTGGAAGCATTCATGTATTAAAAATTTAGATTAGAAGAAACAAAGCCAAAACCCCAGTGGTCTAGCAGGAGTTCAGCTCTATAAGCATTCAAAGGAATTGAAAGTGCAATTCTTAAACACATTTAGGACAGGAACTAATAAAGTATTGAGATGTCTAACCCCTTATTCTGCAATTACACTTTAGGAGCTACTGTTTAAGTGCCTACACAGGAATTCAACAAGTGAAGAACAGATTTATTTTATAGTTCAGAAAAGGACAGCAGAGAAAACAAAAACCAACTTCCAGGAAGGATGTGATACCAAAAAAAAAGGCAATTATTTATACATCTGGGTAACTTTTCTTATAAATCTAATTTTCATGAAGATATCACCTTATTCACAGCAGTAAATTTACATATCTTTATGCTCATGTAACCAGGGTGTCAAACATAAATGCACTTAGATCACATATAAAATACTTCTTAACAGTACTGTTGAAATGGCCATTCTTCTCCAGTTTCTTTCTAGTGTTATTGCTTAACTAATTTCTCAGTAAAATTTATTCATGGACACAGAAGTAATTCCTCAGTTTTTAAAAATAGCATTCAGTTATATCTTCCTGTCTGGTAGCAAACCTAATCTAATTTTTATCTCTAAGGTTCCTGAGTGAAGTATAAAATACTGATTGAAAGCTGAAGCCAAACCCATCTGCAAGATTACTATAAAGCATTGAAACAAATCATTAAGGGACCCCCTGGGAAAGATGCAAACTAGGAATTCTACCAAATTACTCTGATTTAAGTGCATGAGAAAAAGAGATACATTTAAAATGTGTACTGTTAATCTACTTGGACTAGTATAAAATGTGTGCTGATATTATATAGTAGTTAACCCCTGTGAAGAAAAAAACCAACTGAAAAATGTTAAATATCTGTCTGCAACAGAAGAATCTTTTAGTCTGCCCAAAACTACATGATGGCTCCAACTCACTCTTGTTTGGGAAAAGAGCACAGGATTTGATTTTGTGATTAGAATGAGCTTTATCTTACTCAGTATCTTTTATTTGAGGCTGGGCCAAACTCTTATAGTACTGGATGATTCAAACAACATGTGACATGTACTGCTTGAGGACCGAATCACATTTTTTCACCACCCCATATACAACCATTTACATGTGCCATTATTAAACGCTTTGCTTTGATTTTATTTTTTTTAACACAAGCAGTCCCAAACCATCTGCACTGAATATGACCAGCCACGTGTTTATAAAGTCAGAGTGTAGCAATATGATCATGGAGGGAGCAAACTACATCTTAACAGCTGCAAGTCTTGGGTATAAGGTGATCGGAATTTCTCAGACGTGCTCCATATGGATAATGGGGAGATAGGAGAGAGTAAGTTGCTGTGATAGCAGCCTTGGAAGCACCACTAGATTTTAGTGAACTTTCTTAGCCACATATGTGGAATCATCTGTAAGAAAATATAGTAAGAAAGCATCTACTAAACAATAACCAAAAACCAAAGAGATAAAATAATTTCAAGGGATAGCTCTTTCTTGACAAACTACTAATATGTGCAAAAGTAAGGTATGAGGTAATGAAAAAACTTCTCCAATTTTAAAACAAAGCATCATTGGATGAAGCTTCATATTTTTGAATCAGTACTTCAAAATTTGGTTATGTATTAATATCAACAGGATTTGAGAACGATTCTGTTTTGTTTGTTTAGAGAAGACAAACTTGAACACACAAATATAGCTTCAATTTGACATAATAAAATACACAAAACAATTGTATGTATAACTGCAACTTGCATTAAGCAATCCTGTAAAGGTATTCTTGTCTACAAAGTTTGATAGGAAAGCTTGAATGAACAAATATCAGAAGAAAAGCATAACTATCTAAAATTACACACTTTTCTATATAGTTTTAAATAAAGAGGCAGAGATGGAATACGCTGTCATTATGTCATGAGAAGACTGAGGAAGAGATGACTTCAATAGACTGATTCACTCAAATAAAACCAAACAAACAAACAAAACAAAAGCCAATCCCCTAAAAAAACAAACAAAAAGCCCTCCAAAAAAACAACAAAGTTGTGAAAAGTGAAAAGTTCCCTGCACTGCTTCACCTGTTCATATGACATCACTCACAGTGACAGAGCTTTCATTCACCATGTGCTGCATAGCTCCAAACCATTCTGCCTGAGGATACATGTGAAGCTGCATCCTATATCAACTTAAATCACTGCTGCTTGGCTCTTTATTTCATTCCAAATACTTCTTTCCTGCTCACAGGATCCTGATTTGTCATTTGTGATACTTTTACTTCATGATTTCCATCCAGTTTGCAACCTCAAAAGATCTCTTATTGATCTGCATTTATCCTCGAATCTGTAGAACACTCACAGGTGTTCAGTGAAAAAACAACGTCATTTTCTACACAAACTTCCTTATTTTAATATCCAAAAAGGTGACATTTTGATTCTCTTTGGAAAATAGGAAGAACAACTTCCTTTTCCAAAGGCAGATTTTTCATGACCAGCCTATTATTTAAGATGTTAATCCAGAAGTTCCTAGGTTATGATTGGTAGTAAAAACCAGTTATTTTGGAC